CATTGGATGGTTGAAATGAACAATCAAAATCTGTGGTCTCTAAATGTGTGGTGCGGGATTTTGGGCGACACCATAATTGGGCCCTTTTATTTTGATGGCACTCTCAATGGTCGCAGGTATGCGGAATTTCTTGCTGGCACATTGCAGCATGATTTGTTGGGTGACATTCCACTAGCAATAAGGAGGAGATTGTGGCTACAACAAGATGGCTGCCCAGCACATTATGCTGCGGTATCTCGTGCGATTTGTGACCAAAAATTCCCTGGGCGATGGATTGGAAGAGGAGGTTGTGTGGCGTGGCCAGCACGATCACCCGATTTGACCCCTCTTGATTTCTATCTTTGGGGTCGACTTAAGAATTTAGTTTATAAACATCGACCAACAACAAAGGAAGAAATGAAGAACAGAATTCAAGAAGCGTGTCAGAATTTAAGTGCAAGAGAAATTTTAAATGCGGTAGATAGTGTAAGGCTCCGGCTTGAAAAATGTGTTGCTCAAAATGGTAGACAATTTGAACATTTATAATCTTTATTATCTTGATTTTGTTAATTTTTTATTAGATTGAGCGTTTTGTGTCGTTTTGTCGTCCAAATAATTCCTTTCCATAGTTATTTTATTCATTTGTTTAATAAGAACTGGTATTTTTACTTTAATTTATTAAGTTTTATTATTTAGTGTTTTGTAATATTCTTCTGTGGTAAAAAAAACTCCTTGTTATTTTATTCATTTTGTTAGTAAAAACAATTTCTTGTTATTAACCAGCCATTTCTAAATTACACGATTTTTCAAAACGACGAATAGCGACATCTATTTGTCAACTTAAATAACACCGGTAAAAAGTACCAACAATTAGGGTTTATTATTTCGAAAACGATTAGCAATATAAAAATTTTTTTCAAGCGAAAGAGATTTCTATTGAAGAGTTCTTTACGATGATATCGTAATTGACCCCTCTTTACATATAAAATATTAAAGTACTACTCAATTGCACCCACTTCCGGTTGTTGTTGGTCGGTCGTAACACACTATCTAGAAGGAGGGTGTCTGCTTTAGTTGACGAATTTTTTATTTCAACTCTCTAGGACTCACCGTTTCCGAATAAATCGGCTGGTACGGGTGGTCTGGGACACCCTGTACAACAAAAAAAAACATTTCAAAATTAGTTTAACCTAAGATTAAGGTAATAAACCCTTGCTTCTCCCGCAAAGGGGCCCAGACCATTCTGATTCTTCTTTGATTCTTCTTTGAGAAAAAACAAAACAAAAATTAAATTAAATAAAACATAAGAAGCAAATGCGGACATTGGGTCGTACTTGTAGTCATTTCAGCGCTGCCATTAGTCGCAAAAATTAAGAGTTTAACTGACCCATTTGTTGATCAAATAAGTCACCAAAAATATGCTTTTTAAAGGTGGACATGCTTGCCAGTTGAATTGTTTCAGAGCGTATATTATTGTACCCTTTTACAATTTGATAGTGAAAACTCCTCTTGAATAGTTCAGTGTGGTGAAAAAACGGTGATAGAGTCCATAACCTTTGATTTGATGGGATTGAATACCAAGCCATGTTGGGTGGCAGCTAAAACAAGTTGTCTTAGCTCTGTATTCAATAAGTTAAGGTAGTGTTGTTGTTCTTGCGGCTTGTAAGATATGTATACTTGCGTATCATCTGCATAAAAATGTACGTTGCAATGCTTAAATATGTTATTTGTTGACGCTGTGTAGATTGAAAACAAAGTTGGGGAAAGCATCGAACCCTGCGCTACGCCTGCCTTGAGCTGTCGCACCGTGGATCGATGGTTAGGCAACTGCACAAGCTGTTGTCGACCACTCATGTAGCTTTCAAAGAAAGAAATCGCTGAAGCGTCTAAACCGTAGTATTTAAGAATTGTTAGCAAAAGCTTATGGTTTACCGTGTCAAAAGCCTTTGTGTAGTCCAACAAGATAAGAATGGTCATATAACCGCTATCTGTCGCACTTAATCGGTGACACACGCTAAAGCAGTAGTACTTCGACGTGTTGTTGTAATTAAATTAACGATTTTTTCTAAAACCTTTGACATTACGGTTAGGATACTAATTGGACGCAGGTCAGATGTGAGAATTGGATTCGCTACTTTCGGTATCGGAAGCACAACCGCCAGTTTCCATGCAGTAGAGAAAACGCCGTTTTTAATACAAAAGTTAATAATATGGGTGATGTAAGGCAATAAAAATGGCATACAGTGCCTTAACAACTTAACAGATATTTCCTCAGACCCAATTGCAGTAGATCTAATTGATTGCAGAACACTGAAAATGTCATCCTCCACACCGCTGACAGTTTAAGAGAACTACTTAAGTTTTCATTTACGCCCATGTAAATATCCAATAACTGTATTATTCCTGTTGGGAATCGAGTCAATAAAATAGTCATTAATGGCAGAAGCATCCGCAAAATGGTTAGGTAGTGCTCTATGTTTGGATTTAACTAAATTAGTCTTCTTCAACGCAGACCAAGACCCAGCCACGCTACCTGTATCCAAAAACTTTTGCAAATAATCTTTTTTACAATTACGAAGCATATTAGTAACCATGTTACGCGCTAACTTATACGTAAGGTACTTCGCGAGCGTTTAAAGGTTTGAAACAATTTATCTCGGGTTCGCATGGCTACTCTAACCTCATTAGACAACCACGGGACACTAGGTTTTGTAATTTTTACAGTTTTGAAAGGTGCATGTATTTTCACTAAAAAATTGAAATTTAGCATCAATGACATGTCATTCGTAAAGAATGCGCCAGGACAATGACTGTAGATGCTCATAAAAAGCCAACTCATTAAATCTACTGAAATCACGATATGATTTTAATATGGGAACCACTTTCTCCTGTGGTATATTAAATTCAGCAAAAACGGTGCGAATCAGATTTTTGGCCATATACAGGGTGGATCAGTTTTTAATCGGGAAACTTTACTAGGATGTACTACTTGCTAAAATAACACAAGTTTTTTATACAAACATAGGTTCGCAACTCCAAGCAGCTCATTCATAATTGCCTACATACAAATCTTCTATCTGTTATACAGGTGTCCCGTTAAGGGTACTGAGCGGCTGTATCTCGGCAACAGTAAAACCTATTCGGACATCGAATTTGAACCATACCGTACCCTTCTCACCAAAAACTACTTTACTTGAAACTTTTTTCGATTCGAGTTTTTATTTTTGAGATATAAGCCACATGTCATGTTAAATGAAACACCCGGTATATTGCTTCCATTTTATTCTGTCCTTCACTTTTTAATAACAGTTTATCATTAAATTTATTCTTAACACTATTAATCTTATTATGATGCTTACATTTTCTATCGGTTTTTGATTCTATTAAGTTTTTCTCAGCATTATTCATGCACTGCTTAATGGATATTTTAGTTCGTTCGGATAGTTTAGAGTGGATTTAGAGTGTTGAATGACAAATTACAAACCTTTCGTATTTAGTTTCATTATGGACAGTATTGTTAAAAGAAAAACACCAAAAAGGTATCCAAGAACTCAACGTGTATGGAAATTTGTTGGTTTGTATGCGTAAATACGCCCCCAGATTTTTATGCGTATTTTCGAGAGAACCTAAGGTTTCATGATGGTAAGCGGTAGGGGTTAGATTATTAGATTAACGAACGACCTTGCCACCATGAACTTACTAAGTTCACACTGAAGTGTCAGTATATATCGATTATCATCATTATCCTGGGTTATGGATCCTACAAGGTCTAAATATACCTTCTGGAATGCTCACGACGCTGTTGTAATTGTTAGAGATTCGATTTGATTTTTGGAATACTTGTGCCTCTGACAGTCGTCGGATTTTTTAATGAATTTTTCTATGTCACTCTTTAAATTTACCCAAAAATAATTACTTTTCACATTTAAATCTCTCACAGAGGTACTATCAGATCGAATTAGAACCTTCAAGTAGAAAATACACTGCTTTTACAACTAGTAAAGATCAATATCAGATGACCAGACTACCTATTGGGCTATTGCTATGTCTGGATTGAATTTTGAGTCTTATTTCGTTTATCTCGACGATTTGATTGTTTTCGGAAATAATTTACAAAATCACAATCAAAATTTAATTAAAGTTCTTGATAGACTTCGAAAAGTAAATTTGAAGTTCAATCCAGGAATGTGACAATTTAAAAAAAAAGAAATATATTTAGAACATCTTATTTCGGCAGATGATCCAAACAAAATTACTGCAATTACAAGATGCTTCAAGAGGTTTTGGGATTGTTAGCACTATCTTCGTGATTTGCAGTCTTGCATTTTTTTCTGGCAGCTTTTCTTAGATTTAGCATGTCTATCCTAATGCTAAATTCTCCCTCCGTAATCTCCAGTGTTCCCGAATTTCCCTCCAATATATTGTTCAGCGCTGTGTTTACTTATCTTATCTTCCATCTTTTTTCTTATTGTCAAATTGTGTTTGAAAGTGATCCGCCAAAAGCTCTAAAATTAACCTGCTGGACTTTTTAATGACGTTTTGGGTTCTGGCTTCCTTGTTATCTTCTTCAGGTCACTGAGATGTGGCTACATCTCCGTATTTATTACTCCGAAAGGTTTCCCTCCTCGATTTTCTGTATGTTGTTTCCCTTTGCGGTCTTAACCAACTAAACTATCATAAAAATTCTTTTTTAAACACCCTTGATCTTATTATTACTAATTCTACCGATGTTTATTCAATCTCTCTTTGTAGTGGTCCATTGGTTCCTGAGGACACTGCTCACTCCACTCTTGAATTTTCCTGCCAATCCATTTTGCTCGTACATGACACATCATGGTGACGCTTTTTGTTTTAGAAAAGCCCGGTTTCCTGAATTCGTTGAATGGGGTCATACACACTTATTACATTTAGAGAAAACTTAATTTGTATACAACTGCTTGTTTGTGGTACAGTGTTATTGGGTTCGACTTGTTTCTGTACCTACTTGTATGAAAAAAATAACTTAATTTAATTTATTAATAACTTTTTAGTTAGTTCCTATTGTTCCTGGAGGTCGCAGCATTCCCCTCACGTTCAAAAATCGAGCCCAATATTTCGAACAAGCCATAAAATTCCGTCTGGAAGAATTCGATTTGCAAATAGCGGCAGTTCGTGAAGGAATGGCCGGAATAGTTCCGGTCCCATTACTTTCATTAATAACTGCAGAACATATGGAACAATTAGTTTGCGGGATGTCGCACATTTCAATTCCACTTCTTAAAAAAGTTGTGCGATACCGAGAATTAGACGAAAATCACCAATTAGTGAGATGGTTATGGAACATTTTAGAAAGCTTCACCGATGAAGAAAGAGTTCTATTTATGCGATTCGTTTCTGGAAGATCAAGATTACCAGCTAATTTAGCTGATTTATCGCAACGATTTCAAGTAATTTTGCATTAATATCATTTTTTTATTAAATTAAAAATGTATTTGTAGGTAATGCGGGTTGATAGAGCCCCAAATGGTTTACCAACAGCCCAAACTTGTTTCTTTCAATTGCGTTTACCACCGTATACATCCCAAGAGATAATGGCCGAACGCCTTCGTTATTCAATAAATAATTGTCGCTCAATCGACATGGATAATTACATGTTAGCGAGGAATTCAGATTTAGGACCAACATCCGACGATGAAGAATATTAATTCAATAAAATTGTGTGACTGAAGAAATAATTTTCTTTTTTTTATAAGTAAAAAATATATTCTATATCGCGCGATTTATTTATTTTAGCTCAATGTTGTTATTTGTTAAGTTTTGGCTTGTGAATCAAGAATTTTTTAAAAAATCATTTCATTTTTAATTAAAAATAAAAATTGTCAAATTAAATTTCCCTCCTTTTTTTTTTATTTTGACACCCGATAGATGTCGCTTTCACTACCTATTTAAACTGTCAGATTGAACAAATCAGTTCACTTTTTGCGTTTTAACGTGTTGAATTAGCATATTAGATTAGCAAGCTGCGAATATGTTAAGGTCTCTAAAATCGGCCGTTGGTAAAATACAACGATGTCATTTCTCCGCTCAAGCTTTACCACAACCTGAAAGTCAACCAAAAGTTCTTTATTCCGGTGTAAGTACTTTTCCATTTTAACTTATTTGGTTACATTAAGTAGTTATAATACATTTTGCGGCGAGTTTTAAGATAAGATTGGGATGCTTATTTAAAAATAACCAATCCCGAATAAATTTTGAAGGTTATTTTTAAGGTTAGGTTCAAGTTCATTATTATTAATAATTCAAATAAAATCATAGATTATATTCATTCTAAAACGTGAATTGTTGCATTCAAGGTCAAAGTGGGTTATTAATCTTAATAAATTACTAATCTAAGGAATTTAATGTTTTTGTACAAGGTCTATAGAACATAAGGTTACCCAATACCGATTCTCCTCCTCTGAGAGGCAAGGTGGGTCAGTGACGTAGCTGGTTCTATGAACAACACAACACGATGCGAGGTTTAAATATTTTATAAAGACTGTACCACAGTATAGGCACGTATAGGCTATCTTTTATTCTGACTGTATCGAACCAGTGACGTCAATTTGCGGGGTAATAATCGATACTACAGAGGCATAGGGAATGAGGTAACCTTATGTTCTATAAACCCAAGGTCTATAGAACATAAGGTTACCCAATACCGATTCTCCTCCTCTGAGAGGCAAGGTGGGTCAGTGACGTAGCTGGTTCTATGAACAATACAACACGATGCGAGGCTTAAATATTTTAAGTAGACTGTACCACAGTATAGGCACGTATAGGCTATCTTTTATTTTGACTGTATCGAACCAGTGACGTCAATTTGCGGGGTAATAATCGATACTACAGAGGCATAGGGAATGAGGTAACCTTATGTTCTATAAACCTTGCTATAAACCTTGGTTTTTGTAATAATTTCATAACCTCACTTTCATAATTTTAATTATACAGGATGGCTCAAATGTCTGGAATATTTTTATTGTCTGCCACATTTTTTAGCGATATTTGCTTCTTTTTTGTTTTGTTGTTATAGCAACCAACATTGTTATTTTAAATGGGATGCATATATTTTTTTTGCATACTTTGATAGAGGATAAATCCCTCTATGCAATGAACATATGTATCTAATCATATGGTTGTATGAGAAAAAAATGCGTTTTCTGAAAATATCAAATCAGCAAATTACAATCAAAGTAGGCGCCGAAATAACGCCGTTGACAGCTTTGAATGTCAAAAAAATGACAATTTCAACAATTATGAATGATTAATAATGTATGGGTACAGTGACACACATTTAATGTAGTTTCGTCTTCGGCCGTCCGGTTTTTGGAAGGTTTTTAACACTTCTTAATGTCAACTTTAATTTTATGATTATATTCGTAATCTTTATAAAATAACCTTTAAAATCAGTCCAAACATGACGCACTTATCTCGAAAAACAAAAAAGTTTGACTAAAAAACATTAAACCCGAAGTTAGCAACAATGAAGATAGCAATTTAGTTTTTAAATATTAATACCAACCTTAATTTCTGATTTTTTTATTATATTTTTGTTTTTGTGACAAATATTAAGACATTTTATAAAATTAGGAATATATCAAAATGACATTGACATTTCAAACCGGAAGTTGCTTATATCTCAAGTAATATTAGAATTAAACTTATCATGTTTGGGCTCATTTTAAAACATTTTTCACGACATTACAAACATGTCAAAATTGAGGTTGACATTTCTAACCGTAAGTTGACAATAACTTCTTTAATATTGAAGATAAATATGTCGTGTTTGTACTCACTTTAAAAAAATTTTAATGAAATTACAAATATGTCAAAATTGAGGTTGACATTTTACACCTGAAGTTAGTTATCATATAATAGATAAATGGGCAAATTCATGATGTACTCTTTATTAAAAAAATCTTTAAAATGTGTCCAAGCCAGTGGCGTAGCTAGCCATGAAGGGGCCCTGTATCAATAAAATATCGGGGGCCCTTTTTGGGGTAATAAAGAATACATATAAGAGTCACAAAAACAACAATACTTATAAACTAAACTTGTGTGTATGATATAAACTATATGGAATAAGTTAGATGGTGTTTTTTGATCGCAAAAATTGACAACTATGATAAGGTTATTAACCTTATCATAAACTATATGTGCAAATAACTAAAAATTCTACGTTTTTAAATAATTACTTTTCTGGCCTTCATTTCGGCAAAAGCATTTATGATATCATCCATTGCTGATGACGATTTCAATTTTTCAAGTTCCTCTTTTTTATGGACAGTATTGATAAATCTGATAGTCGATCTTGTTCCATAGATGTCCTTAGGTATGTTTTAATGAGCTTCAATTTAAAGTAATTTTGAACGTTCAAACAACTATTCATTTATTTGTTTGTAAAAATATCATTCAACGTAACCATAGCTACGAACAAAGCCCACTTGGATTATTTCGATAAGTTCATGCCATCGCGATAGTTTGAAAGCATTTTCAATTAATTTCAGCGCCTACTAGAAACTTTTCCAAATCAAATATTTATTAATAAAAAAAAATTTTTTCGCAACATTTTTCTCATGCAACTTAATTCAAAATTTGCTCTAAGATACTCAAAAAATGTGTTCTTTCAGATTACCGAATACAAAATTGGGGTTGCCATTTAAAAAAATGTTGCCCCCTTTGACCCGAAATTGTACGCCACTGTAAAAAAAAAATTTAGACATAGGAAAAGACGACAAATTTATTAGTCTTTGACACCTGAAAGGATTCTCTCAAAAAGAAACTCGTTTTGAAGATATTTCAGGCGTTCCAGACTTTTTATTCTCCCTGTATGATAACTAACTTCAGGTGTAAAATGTCAATGTCATTTTGATATATTCTTAATTTTATAAAATGTCTTAAAATTTGTCACAAAAACAAAAATATAATAAAAAAAATCAGAAATTTAGGTTGGTATTAATATTTAAAAATTAAATTGCTGTCTTCATTGTTGCTAACTTCGGGTTTAATGTTTTTTAGTCAAACTTTTTTGTTTTTTGAGATAAGTGTGTAATGTTTGGACTCATTTTAAAGGTTTTTTAATAAAGAATACATCATGAAAGAACGCCATGAAGTTGCCCATTTGTCTGTTATAAGATAACTAACTTCAGGTGTCAAATCTCAACGTTAATTTTGACATATTTGTAATCATCATTAAAAATCCTTTAAAGTGAGTATAAACACGACATATCTCTCTTCAATATTAACGCAGTTATGGTCAACTTCCGGTTAGAAATGTCAACCTCAATTTTTACATATTTGTAATCGCCGTGAAAAATCTTTTAAAATGAGCCCAACATGATACGTTTAATTCCAATATTAGTCGGGATATAAGCAATTTCCGGTTTGAAATGTCAATGTCATTTTGATGCATTCTTAATTTTATAAAATGTCTTAAAATTTGTCACAAAAACAAAAATATAATAAAAAAATCAGAAATTAAGGTTGGTATTAATATTTAAAAATTAAATTGCTGTCTTCATTGTTGCTAACTTCGGGTTTAATGTTTTTTAGTCAAACTTTTTTGTTTTTTGAGA